GGCTGCCTACAACTGTTGTGAGTGAACAATCCACCCTTCTGCCTAGTGATCTTGGATTTGTCATCCACCAGAATATTGTCTGCCAAACTTGAGCTCATCAGCCCCTGCAGCTGCATGAGTCAGGAAAAGCCTCCCATTTGATGTTTGATCCAGGAACTTGGGACCTGCCAGCTTCTACAACTGTGTGAGCCATTTTCCTAAGACAAAGTTCTCTCCATATATCTCTATATAAGCTTTACTGGTTTTGCTTCTCTAGAGAACCCAGCCTAACCTACCCAGCTTCTGTGATTATTTGCTTAGCATACAGACTGAATAAGTATGGTGAAAGGGTACAATCCCAGTCTTTCCTGACTTTGAACTATACTGTATCCCATTGTTCTGTTCAAATGATTCCTTCTTGGTCTACCTATATGTTCTGCATGAGCATAATTAAGTGTTCTAAAATTAACATTCTTCAAAATAAACTGATATCCCACACTCCATGTCCTCATCTGAATCTGGCATCAATGTCTAGCAGTTCCCTGTTCATGTACTGCTGCAACCGTTTTTCAATTATCTTTGGCAAAAATGAGATTTTTACTAATTGTAAAGAGTAAACAGTTAACTTTACAACAGCATAGAAGAAAATGTGATAAATACACAAAGAAAACACTTAAATCATATAGAAGATCAGTGTATTTTATTGTATGCAAAATAACAATAAAACATTTTGAAAAATGAAATCACATTTGCTCAACGCTATTCTTTGCAGCCTTATTTGTAATAAGCCAAAGACATTAAGAAAGGTCAAATTTAGCTTAGACTGAGAAAATAATGAACACTGATCAGGACACACTTGCAGCTAAAATGAAACTGTCATTTATTGCAAAGGCACAAAGTAATGACCTCTTAAACTTTGAGTTGTTACTGCATTCTTGCTCACTGAAAGTTTGTTCTTTAAAAGCAGACTTTCAGAAATTTGTTGCTTGAAATTATAACAGTAAGGATGAAAACTCGACTTCTGACGTAGTCTCCACACTGTGAGTTCTTGTATGTGAAGTGTGATAAGAGGCCTGACTAAAGGCCATCTCATATTCCTTACTTTCATGTTTCTTTCCCCTGTGAGTATTTCTATGTGTACTAAGGGAGGAAGTCTGACTAAATGCTTTCCCACATTCTTTACATTTATATGGTCTCTCTCCACTGTGAGTTCTTTTATGCTTAGTGAGTGATGAGGAACAACTAAAAGCTTTCTCACATTCCTTACATTCATAAGGTTTCTCTCCACTGTGAGTTCTTTTATGTGTAGTGAGGGATGATGAACAACTAAAAGCTTTCCCACATTCCGTACATTCATAAGGTTTCTCTCCACTGTGAGTTCGTCTATGTGTACTGAGGGATGAGGTCTGACGAAAGGTTTTCCCACATTCTTTACATTCATAAGGTCTCTCTCCACTGTGAGTTCTTTTATGTGTAGTGAGGGATGAGGGCTGACTAAAGGCTTTCCCACATTCTTTGCATTTATAAGGCCTCTCTCCACTGTGAGTTTTTATGTGTGAAGTGAGGTGTGAGGAACAACTAAAGGCTTTCCCACATTCCTTACATTCGTAAGGCCTCACTCCAAGGTGGGTTCTTGTATGTGTAGTAAGGGATGAGGCGTATCTAAAGCCTTTCCCACATTCCTTACATTTATAAGGGCTCACTGCAAGGTGAGTTCTTATATGTGTACTGAGGGATGAAGCATAGCTAAAGGTTTTCCCACATTCCTTACATTCATAAGGCCTCTCTACACTGTGAGTTTTTAAGTGTAAAGTGAGCTGTGAGGAACAACTAAAGTCTTTCCCACATTCCTTAAATTCATAAAGCCTCATTCCAAGATGAGTTCTCATATGTGTACTGAGGGATGAGGCGTATCTGAAGGCTTTCCCACATTCCTTACATTCAAAAGGCTTCTCTCCACTGTGAATTCTTGTATGTTTAGTGAGATTTGAGGCATTACTAAAGGCTTTCCCACATTCCTTACATTCATAAGGCCTTTCTCCACTGTGAGTTCTAATATGCTGAGTGAGGTAGGAAGCCTGACTAAAGGCTTTCCCACATTCCTTACATATATAAGGTCTCTCTCCACTGTGAATTCTTATATGTTTAATGAGGTGTGAGCAACACTTAAAGGTTTTCCCACATTCCTTACATTTAAAGGGCCTTGTGCAACCGTCTATTTTCATATGTGTAGTGAGGGATGAGGCATGACTACAGGCTTTCCCACATTCCTTACATTCATAAGGCATATCTCTGCTATGAAATTTTTTATGTAAAATAAAGGATGAAGCACAACTATAGGTTTTACAATATTCTTTCCATTCACTCTTATGACCTCTTACTTGTATCCAAAATGATGAAAAATCACAGAAATCTTTCCCATATTCGTCATATTCATAGTGCTTCTCACCAGCCAGTGTTGTCAAAGAATTCTTAAGCATTGAGAGACAAATGACATCCTTCCCACAGACCTCACATTTATGAGATTTCTTTCCATGAAGAGTTCTCATAGGAGTGGCTAGGTTAGAGGGACAATGGCAGGCTTCTCCACATTCCTTACTGCCTTCAGCATGAAACATGGCCTCACGTTTATATGAGGAGTGATCCATGAGGGCTTTTCCACACTCACAGCATTCAAAAGCATTTACTTCTGGAGGATTTCTTTTCACCACAGTAAGATCTGGATTCCAGCTGACAGTTTTCCCACACTGATTGTCTTGATTACTTTCACAGAGGTTCTCTACCGTGTAACTTCTGTTAAAATAAGCAACATGCTGTTGGAAATAAATGTGTTCTCATTTCACCATTACCAAACACAGTGAATGTGCATGGTGTTTCCCTTGACTTATCTCATGTCTCACTGGCTAAATCATGTACTAGAGACACTAGCATAACTTTCACTGTTTTTCTAAAGTATGAGGTTTTCTAATAATTATATACAAGTGAAATATGTTTCAAATACCGGATATCTGGCTCACATTTATCAAAATGTTGTACTGTGAAAATTCTCTGAATATATAATTTTTCAGCCATGTTTATATTAACATATTATATATATATATATATATATATATATTTCACATATTTTATGTATTTATGGTTAACACAAAAACAAACATATGTATATGTGTGTGTGTATGTACACACACGCATATACATACATGTATACACACACACACACACACACACATATATATACATACATATATGAACCAAATGCACTGCCATCGAGTCAGAGCTGACCCATAGCGACACCTCCTTGGGTTTCCAAGGCGGTATCACTACGGAAATAGATTGCCCAACCTTCCTTCTGAGGAATGGCTGGTGGGTTTGAACCGCCAGCCTTTGGTAAGCAGTCAAACGCCTTAGGCACTACGCCACCAGAGTTCCTATACACAAGATACACACACACACATATATATATATATACAAGAAACATAACATACACGTACACACCCACTCCTCACAAAAGAATGGATTCATTATCTGACCTTTCGCATTTAAGACATTTATGTACTTGTTATTTCTATGGGATATAAGCAACAACAGGAAAATAGTAAGTATTTTAGAGTATAATTCAATTGCCAGGTATGATCAGGTAAGCCAGGTATGTGGTGAGATGAGTGCTCAAAGCAAGTCTTTTGTTAAAGTGCCCCTACTGTGCCATGCTAAGTTGGTGAAAAGAAGGACCATGTTTCTGAAAATAAGGTGGAAGCAGGGCCCAGATATTGGGAGCAGATCTTCCAGGAGCTGGCCAAGGTGTGCCACCAAGGTTGTCATTGCCTGTGGGCACATTTGCAGACGTGACAGGACACTGCTAGTAAGCCAGCAAGGGGAGTATTAACTGGTACTTAGCTTTCGACATGATGAGACCTGGGGAGAAGTGATCTAGGGAGAAGGCACCTGAGCTAAAGGTGCTGAAGATGTGTGCTACAGAGCACAGTGACACGGCCGAGGAGCTGGGGGCTCTGAGCCATGAAATCTGGAGCATAATGTTGATTTTTGCATAACAACCTGTTCTTTGGAAAGTAACTATGTTGATAAGTGAGGAGAGGGTGTATATCTTAATATATATATATATATATATATATACACACATGCATATATTTTAATGTTATGACACCTTAGGACTTTCCCCTGAGGAACTGTTCTTTCTTGTTTGAATGCCACTCACCTCAAATGTCTCCCCTGATTTTTATGCTGATCTTTATTGCCATGAGATTCAGAGATTTCTCCTAAAATGGAGGAGCAGGTATTATTCTTCATGAATTGTACTATTATATGTTCAGTGGATAACTTTTCTCCATCATTAAGATTTTGAGAGACTGACCCAATAATTTGAGTTGAGGTTCACAATATGAAACAAAAAGAAAAGGAATTATTAGGGGAAATAACACTGCTGTGAACAAAGAAAGACTTAGGTACATTTTGCTGTTACAGCACTTTTAATCACTCTTAAAAAGCAGCACTTTTAATCACTGTTAAAAAGCAATTTAATAGGAAATATATCCATGAGGATTGGGAGTGACAGTGACATAAATAACTTAATTAGGAGAGCTAAGTAGAAAGAGCTACTTAGCTAAGGAGCTCTGGTGATGTAGTAGTTAAGGCATTCTGGCTCCTAACTAAAAGGTCGGTGGTTCAAACCCACCGGCCACTCCATGGAAGAAAGAAAGATGAGGCAGTCTGCTTCCATAAAGATTTACAGCCTTGGAAACCCAATGGGGGTCTCTATGAGTTGGAATCGACTCGCTTCCAGTGAGTTTAGTTTTTTGGGAAGTAGATATTGGACAAAATATGCATGTAACCTTAAAAGAGGAAATGGGTCTTCATGACCAGTGATGTGAGAGGATTGCTGATATCAGAAACGTAAACTCGGGTGTCTGTAAAAGTGGGCACTCAATACAAGAGACTTTTTCTATCTGACTAAAATGTAATTCCCTCCATGCAGGGCTGGTCCTTCCAAAAATAATTGCTTTCCTGATGCTTACTGACAAACCTAGATGAATTCCATCTCCACTGTCCTCAGATCTTTTCTTTGCTTCTCTGTAAAAACAAATGGCTACAGCTGATATGGTTCACATCATGAGGGAAGACAGTGCAGAACAATGAATATTCATCTGATACTGAGCTAATACTTTCCAGTTTAGAATCTATGAAGATGGACCAAACCAAAACCTACTACCACTGAGTCAATTCCAACTTACAGTGACTCTATAGGACAGGGCAGAACTGCCTCAAAGGGTTTCCAAAGCTATCAATCTTTAAGGAAGTAGACTGCCTCATATTTCTCCTGTGGAGTGGCTGGTGGGCTCAAACCACAGATATTTAGGTTAGCAGCTGAATGAATATGTTAACCACTACACCACCAGAGCTCCTTTGAAGATGGAAAAAGAGGAATTTATATGCAGCAAAAATAATCCTTTCAAGGTTGCAATAAACACAGTAAAACTGTTACAAGGCCTCAAAATGAAAATCTCTCAGTGATCCAAAGTGATCCCTGAAGCCAATACTTAAAATAGTTAAAGAGGTTCAGGACTTTTAATCACAAGTGGTATGAAAACTCCCTTTCATAACAGAGCTTTATGTTCATGGGAAAGCCAGGATATACGAGCTCTGTAGACCAAGGGATCATGCCTGTTTAACAATTTCTTGCCATTCTTCAGCCCAAATACTGGAACAAAATCGATGAGAAAAATATGGTTCATTATTAAAAAAAAAAAAGATGCCATTCTTACCCACTGAATCCAGGTTACTCAAGGTTTCCATCATCACGTCTCTGTAGAGTTTCCTCTGAGCAAAATCCAGCAAAGCCCATTCTTCCTGGCTGAAGACCACGGCCACATCCTCAACGACCAACGAGTCCTAAAACATCCCACATATTCTGGATCAGCAAGATCCCATGTACTACTCCGATGTGTACAAGAACAAAGGGTGAGGCTGACAGTCCTGGGTAACTGAGAATTTATGGGGATTTGGCACAAAGTACTGTGTCTCTAAGGTAGAGCTATCAAGTTCGTCCCTTCACGTCTGCTGAGATTCCGTCCTGTCCCACAGATTTTCAACACACTGAAATACTCTCTCTACAGTTTGCAAGCAAATGCAGTCTTACTCCTCTCTCTTTATGGTCTGGAACAGTTTGAAAACATAGCAGAAACCAGTGCAATGCTCTAATTCAGATGATTAATTCCCTGTTGACAAACAATTACACCTCCCTTCCATAAGACCCACTAGAACATGCAACAAAACATAAATCACAGGGGGAAGGCAGGATGAGGGATTAACAGCTGGGAAACACGGCCGAAGGGCAGTTTTTCCTTTTGTCCCTCACAGCCATGGGAAGACCAAGGGCCCGCACAAACAGACTGGCAACGCAAGGCCCCAAGCCTTTCTTCAACTCTAGGAGATCCACCTGTTGAAAAAAAGAATATTCTTTTGGAGAAGTATGAAGTTTTACATGTCCCTCACCTATTTTTCATCAGTTCAGCTGTCTGTCATCCTGCCTGTCCCTTTTATACAGACAGACAAAGAATACTTAAAAAGAGGTAGGAAACATGAGAATCCAGACCTCCCCACAATTCTCAGATTTCGAGATAGAACTGTACAGCAATTTATTAGTGACTGCTCCCCTCAACAAACAAAACTCATACACCCTCATGCAAACCTGTTCTGACAAAGCACACCACCTCTGCTGAAACAAGAACAGCATGTCCTTAAGTTTGCTAAGAGATTATGACTCCCATTTTGTAATGACTGCACAACACAGTAAATGTCATCAGTGCCACCAATTAGTTATACATGTAAACATCTCTGGACTGGCAAATACTTTGTTATATATAATTTTTATCACACACTAAAAAAATTAATTTTGTAAGTAAATTGAAGAAGTGAAGAAGAAGCTTTGCCTGTTAAATTGCCTGTGAAGCATAGGAAACAACAGATTTCCCCATCAGCCCCCTGGAGGCACCACTCCAAAATTCTCTCACAACGTAGTCTCTCGAAGGCACACAACCGGGACTACCTGAACACTGACCAATGGAATTCCCGGGATTAAGAGTGACCTCCGCGAAACAGCACCAATGAAATGGGGGCACACGTACCCTCCTCAAGCAGTGAATAGGGAGGGCTGCTTGAGACAGCATGACACCATGGCAGCCATCAGCTTTAGAGTAAGACCTGTTATGTCTAATCAATCCTGATATGATGGTACCACAATACACTTTGAACTAGAGATCAAATTCAACAGTCTTCTCTACTACAATGTGCCAGGTTACATATTTTAGACTCATCAAAAACCTTAATGTTTATTATACATTATACTAATGATAAAATGAGGGGCTCTCGTGGCATAGTGCCTAAGGCACTTGACTGCTAACCAGAAGGCTGGCGGTTCAAACCCACTAGCCACTCCTCAGAAGAAAGATGAGGCAATCTACTTCCATAGTGATACTGCCTCGGAAACCCAAGGAGGGGTTGCTATGAGTCAGGGCCGACATGATGGCAAATAACAACAACAACAACAACAAATGATAAAATGTTCCAAGTATGGAGCAAAAACATGTGAAAAGTTCTGCAAAAAGTTTACAACACTCTAGCTAATTTATATCTCATAACATTCCTAAGCAGGGATTGATTTCAAACAGTTTATAGCTAAATAAACCAAGGCTTCAAACTGGGGGTGAAACCAGTTCAGTCACAGCTGACAAAGCAAAACCAGAGCAGGTAAGAATTTCTAAAATTTCAGTATACTGGACCGATAACCAAACCCAAACCCACTGCCATCAAATCAATTCTGACTCACAGTGACCCCTACAGAGCAGAGTAGAACCACCCCATAGGGTTTCCAAGGCTGTAAGTATTTATAGAAGCAAAATGCTTCATCTTTCTCCTGCAGAGTGGCTGGTGGGTTTGAACCACTGATCTTCTGGTTAGCAGCCAAATATAACCACTGTGCCACAAAAGCCCCTTGGACTGCTAACTAGCAGAGGAAAAATTATGACTCCAAGTCTCAAAAGAGGCACAATGATCCCTTTCTGGAGCCTGATGTGGGAGATTGGATTACTTTCAGGACCAGTATTGTTGTGAGGAAAACACACTGAGAGAGTGCTGTGGTCAGCCGTAACCCTGGAATCTGGCACCGCTGCTTCCGACTACTCAAAATAAAATGGCAAGAGATTAGTTGCTATGCTACACATATGTTGCCCTTGTCTCCCAAGAGATAAATTACGTTTCAACCAGAGCTTCAACCTACAATTTTACCATCCCAGCTATCATTCCGGTTCATAAAAACTAAAAAATATGGGTCTGTTGTAGCTTTCCTTCCACAGACATGAATGAACCAGCCATGAACTGGTTCAAAGCCCTCAAGTAAAGTTAGAGTCAATCAATTAATCACATGTTTAAAATTGTTCACATGAAATGCTGCTGAGCCACAGTCACATTGCATGTCAATTTGTCCTTGAAGCCTAAATCCCTGACAACTACACTGCTGTTTATATTGTTTTATTCTTATTCTCCAGTAACATCATGGATGACCTAGAGCCCTGCTGGGTACTAGGGAGAGGAGACAAAGGGAACATCCTATTCCATACAAACAGCCCTGAGCCACTTCTGCCAGAGTCCCAGGTCTCAGACAAAAATTCGTTCCTTCAGACTCCTAACTGTGGCTACATTCATTTATCAAAATTTATTTAGGTAAAACTGACACAGAGTGCACACCATGTTGACAACGGTGACATAGCACTGACTACCACAGAAATAAATGGATCAACATGGATCGCGAATTCTGTTAGTGTGGACAGTAAATTTCAATATATACATGTGTAAACGAACACACACATTCTCTTAGACTGGGTTCTCTAGAGAAGCAAAACCAGTGAAGCTTATATACATACATACATATATATATGGGCTTCTTGTTGTTAGGTGCTGTTCAGTCGTTTCCGACTCATAGCGACCCCATGCATAGAATGAAACACTGCCCGATCCCACGCCATCCCCACAATCCCTGCTATACTTGAGCCCATCATCGCAGCCACCGTGTCAATCCATCTCGTTGAAGGCCTCCCCCTCTTTCATTGACCCTCCACCCTACCAAGTATGACATCCTTCTCCAGGGAATGGTCCCTTCTTACAACATGACCAAAATAGGTGAGACGAAGAAGTCTGGCCATTCTTGCTTCCAAGGAGCATTTCGGGTGCACTTCCTCCAGGACAGTTCTGTTAGTTCTTTTAGCAGTCCATAGTACTTTCAGCATTCTTCACCAGCACCTCAACTCAAAAGCATCAACTCTTCTTCAGTCTTCCTTATTCATTGTCCAGCTCTCACATGCATACGAGGCGATTGGAAATATCATGGCTTGTGTCAGGCACACCTTAGTCCTCAAGGAGACATCCTTGCTCCTCAGCACTTGAAACAGTTCCTTCGTGGTTGACCTTCCCAGTGCTACATGTCGTCTAATGTCCTGACTGCTCCTTCCATTGGCATTGATTATAGAATCAAGCAACGTGAATTCTTTGACCACCTCAATCTTTTCTACATTTATTGTGATGCTGCTTATTGGTCCAATTGTGAGGATTTTTGTTTTCTTTATATTGAGACGTAATCCATACTGCAGACTGTATTCTTCAACCTTCATCAGTAAGTGCCTCAAGCCATTCTCACTTTCAGCAAGCAAAGTTGTATCATCTGCGTATCTCAGGTTGTTAATGATTCTTCCTCCAATCCTGATGCCACGTTTTTCTTCATATAGTCCAGCTTCTCGGATTATCTGCTCAGCATATAAATTGAATAAGTATGGGGAAAGGATGCAACCCTGACACACTCCCCCCCTAATTTTAAACCATGCAGTGTCCCCTTGTTCCGTTCAAATGGCAGCCTCCTGGTCAAGGTACAGGTTCCTCTTGAGTACAATCAAGTGTTCGGGAATTTCCATTTTTCTCAATGTTATCCATAATTTGTCATGATCCACACAATTAAATGCTTTTGCATAGTCAATAAAGCACAAGTAAACATCTTTCTGGTATTCTTTGCCTTGAGCCAAGATCCATCTGACAACAGCTATGATATCCCTTGTTCCATGTCCTCTGCAGAATCCAGCTTGCACCTCTGGAAGTTCTCTGTCAATATACTGCTGCAACCATTTTTTAATTATCTTCAGTAAGATCTTACTTGCAGGAGATATTAATGATATTGTTCGATAATTTCCACATTCTGTGGGATCACCTTTCTTTGGAATGGGTACAAATATGGATCTCTTCCAGTCAGTTGGCCAGGTAGCTGTGTTCCAAATCTCTTGGCATAACCGAGTGAGTGCTTCCAGTGTGGCATCCATTTGTTGAAATATCTCAATGGGTATACCGTCAATTCCCGGAGCCTTGTTCTTTGCCAGTTCCTTCACTGCAGCTTTGACTTCCTCCTTCAGTACTATTGGTTCTAGATCATATGCCACCTCCTGAAATGGTTGAAGATCGACCAGTTCTTTTTGGTACAGTGACTCTGTGTATTCCTTCCATCTTCTTTTGATGTTCCCTGCATCATTCAACGTTTTGCCCTTAGAATCTTTCAATATTGCAACTCGAGGCTTAAATTTTTTTCCTCAATTCTTTCAGCTTGAGAAATGCTGAGTGTTTTCTTCCTTTTTGGTTTTCAAACTCCAGGTCTTTACACATTTCATTATAGTAATTGGTTCACAGATCTATTTTGTCCATAGATCCTTTCAATACTGCAAGTTGAGGCTTGAATTTCTCTTTCAGTTCTTTCACCTTAAGAAATGCCGAATGGGTTTGCAGTGTAGTAAATTACTTAGTGTGGCTTTTCTACCCATAAGTCTTTGTAAATTCCAAGGTGGGAGTTGCTATGAGCAACTGAGGAGCTCCTGATTGCTAAAGTTGTCCACCTAGAGTATTTCTGTTGGGAGTGGCACAAAACAATGTTCTGGGAGGTTCCCACTCTCTGTCAGGTGCTTAGAGTTCTGACGCTATGATTGGCTAGTTTGGCCACTCTACCAGGCTCAAAAGGAGGCCTCCTAGAGGCAGAACTCTGACTGCTGGTTGAGGAAGATGTGCTGCTGAAAGAGATATGCGTTCCTAAAAGAGACACATGCTGCTGGGAAAGAGACGCAAGAGACAAGCATTGCTGAGTGAGACACCGAGGGACACACACTGCTGGGAAAGAGACTGTGAGAGACTGTTGGCTGAGGGATGGTGGGCTGGAAGAGAGACTGAGTGTTTTTCCTGAACTTGAATTGTAGCCTGGTGCTTCCCTAATAAATCCCATAATCTGTGAGTTCTGTGTGGCCACTGCAGTGAATTATCGAGCCCAGGAGAGAGGTGGTGGGTGCTTTGGGAAGAACAGTTGGAGAAAGGGCTGGAGGAAGGCAGCATGTCTGGCCTCGCAGGAATAGGCCTTGGGCTATTGATGGTGATTCTGTCTTCCTCTTGTGGGGTTAGAGGAGGTCAGAACATGTGGCCTCCTTGCCCTTTTTGCAGGGTTCTTCCCTTTGGATTTTCTAACTCCAGGTCTTTGCACATTTCATAATACTTTATTCTATCTTCTGAAGCCACCCTTTGAAATCTGTTCAGATCTTTTCATCATTTCTTCCATATGCTTTAGCTACTCTCCACTCAAGAGCAAGTTTCAAGGTCTGTTCTGACATCCACTTTGGTCTCTTCTTTCTCCCTTGTCTTTTTAATGGCCATTTGCTTTCCTGATGTATGATGTCCTCCCACAATTTGTCTTGTCTTTGGTCGCTGGTGTTCAATGCCTCAAATCAACTCTTCAAATAGTCTCTAAATTCAAGTGGGATATACTCAAGGTTGTATTTTGGCTCTTGTGAATTTGCTACTTTTCTTCAGCTTTAACTTAACCTTGCATATGAGCAACTGATGATCTATGCCACAGTAGGCTCCTCGCCTTATTCTGATGATATTGAGCTTCTCCATTGTCTCTTTTCACAGATGCAGTCCATTTAATTCCTGTATATTCCATCTGGTGAGGTCCACATGGATTGTTGCCATTTACACAGTCGAAAAAAGATATTTGCAATGAATAAGTCATGCAAAATTCTGTCATGCCAGATAAAATCCCTGGTGTCATTTCTATTACCAAGGGTGGTGGTGAAGTTTGTGTGTCAACTTGGCTGAGCCTGGTTGAGGGGCGGGGCAGCTGAATGTAATTACTCCCCACGGTGAGATTAGTAATTAACTCCATGGAGGAATCTACGGAGCAGCTGAGTAGCTGCTTTGGGTATGTGGTCTGCTTCCTGTATATAAGAAACAGCTTTGGGAATGGTCGCTAGCTTATGACATGCTTGAACCCTGCACATAGCCATGCCACTGTTCAGCAGCCTGCCATGCTCTGCTGATCTTGGAATTTTCAATGGACTTGAATCAGTGGCCTGCTGTGTGGTTGGTAATATCAGGACTGTGCTTTTTTACTTGTCAACCTTGGGTTTGACAGCCTCAGCAGCCAGCAGCTGAGTGAAGAAAAGCCTCCAGCTTCAATGGGCCGGAGCAGGAGGCAGAGCTGCAACCCAAGGTTGAGGGGCTTCCACACAGGCCCTAGAGCCTGGCACTTTGAACTCGGACTTCTAGCCTCCCAAACTGTAAGAGAATAAATAAACTCCTATTTGTTAAGGCCATCTCATTTGTGGTATATTCTTGTCAGAGCGGCACTAGGTAACCAGAACACCAAGGTTGTATTTTCCAACTACCAATGCTTCTTTTTTGTCTCCAACTTTCACATTCCAATCACCATTAATTATCAATGCATCATTATTGCACGTTTGGTCAATTTCACACTGCAGAAGTTGGTAAAAATCTTCAATTTCTTCATCTTAGGCTTTAGTGGTTGGTGCATAAATTTGAGTAATAGTCATATTAACTGGTCTTCCTTGTAGGCATATGAATATTATCCTATCACTGACTACACTGCACTTCAGGATAGATATCGAAATGTCCTTCTTGACAATGAATGGGACATCATTCCATTTCAATTTGTCATTCCTGGCATAGTAGACCATGACTATCCCATTCAAAATGGCCAGTATCAGTTCATTTCAGCTCATTGATACCTAGTATATCAATCTTTATGTGTTCCATCTTATTTTCAACAATTTTAAATTTCCTAGATTCATATTTCCTACATTCTGCATTTCAATTATTAATGGATGTTTGCAGCTATTTCTTTTCATTTTGAGTCGTGCCACATCAGCAAATGAAAGTCTCAAAAGCTTTACGCCATCTGTGTCATTAAAAGCTGCTTGCACTTTGAG